TACACCTTAAATATATATTTTTTACATTTCAAAGATATCACAATAAAGTAGTAAAAGGGAAAATTTTTTTGAAGAAATAAAAACTTCAGAAAGGCAATTGAACTAACCAAATAAGGAATGTTTAAATAAACAGAAAGAGACAGCCAATAGTTACAGAATCCCAATATGGCTAGTAAAGGTTATGGACACCAAACACATTTTCAACCATCTTTTATTCCAACAAACAGGTTTATGGGATAGACCAAGCCATAAATTGGTCCCAAACATTCAGTCACTGGCCTTAGTGGATTCTCCTCCTTGAAAGGAGATCAGGTCTTGGAACAAAACATTCCTCTAAGATATATGACCTGGAATATTAGAAGTCTTAGTAATACATTTAGACTAGGCTTTGACCCAAAAAGTAAAAGGAAGGCAACCGCAAACTCTCAAACATAAATTCCAAAATGTGAAGCCTCCTTTAACACAATGAAAAGACCACCTCATATAAAAGACATGAGTAGTCGGACCCACTCTGAACTTGTATATCTTTCCTTTAAACAAAAACTCAAACATTTCCAAGGAAAACAAGGTTGATAACATTGCAATACTAGATGAAGAAAAACAGATAAATCCTGCTTTGGGGCTCACTTGAACTGAAAGTTCTAAAACGTCTTGAAACAAGTCTTAATTAGATGTTATGACAGAGATGAGATAACAAAAAAAATATTTGTTTAAGAAGCTAGATCTTAACATCAAATTTTTTCTTTTGGTATTTATTATTATATGGTATAGAAATTAATTGCAAACTAAAGTTTATGTTAGTGTTATGTATCAATATTTTTATTGGAGAAAAATTGTTTGCAATAAAAAAAATCAGAGAGGTTAGCCTACATTCCCTTAGTTCAATTATTATGAAATGAGGTGGTTAGAATGATCTTCCCCATTCCTGTGAGATAAGACTTCTTGACGTTATTTATTTTATTTTTTCTGTGTTTATATTGACACCACTGTGGCAGCCATATCCCTTTGGAATAATGTCATAATCTTACTTTTTTAGGCACCTCCATAGTGCGGTGTTTTTTATCTTCTGTGTATCCAATAATTTTATTCAACACAAAAATTTTTTATTCAATTCAAAATTTATTAACTTTTAAAAAGTGCTTTCATATTTTCTAGGTAGGCTGTTTTTTGCTCTTTGGGTATATGTGAAGTTGACAAGCCCTTCATCTAATCCATTGGGATTTAACAGAATATTTATATTTTAATGTATTAATTTATTAATCCATACTATTAACTAATATGCAGATTAATTTGGCATTTCAGAAAGTTAAAAAAGGTCATAAAATACCTTTAAATCTTCTTCAGCCACCAATGCAATGGTTTGACATCACATTTAAGAGCATCCAGCTATCTGACCCATTGCCATTTCAGATAAGGAGCAGTTTCCCCCTTTGACCTCGGTCTTGGCATAGACCTGCTACAGTGGTATATATCACATCAAAACACACTGTTCTTAAGAGCCTTATGCATCTGGAAATCCTTACAGGCAGAACTAAATTAACTGGCTGAAGACAAACCTAGAGCTCTCAGAGACAGATCTTCAGTATCAAATTTTTAAAAATATGCTTAACTAATTTAGGTTGAAGAAGGACTGTTTCCACTAAAGAACACACACTAGGTAGGTCAACTAGAAAATGAATTTGCTGAAACTATTATTTCAGAGTATTTAGTGGGAAAGGGGAAGAAGAAGCAGCTCTTCCAGTATTGGGTACATTATTTAATTCACTTGAAATAAAATAAAGAACCATCATAAAGTACAAGTAGGTATAATCTGTTTTCTAATTTAAAAATAAGGTAAAAGCAGACATTATGTACCACTTGGTGATACAAGATTAGCAAGAGCTGAATCAGCAGAGTTACTCAGTAAAACATAATGCTACAGAAATTAGTAAATGCTGTAGATATGTTTACACAGTGCCTTCCTTTAGTGCTCAAACCAGGGTTGTAGGTAAAGATGATTATCAATGCTCCAGTACCAGAAGCGGAAAATCAAGCACTGCTTACTTTCTGGGACCCTCAGAAAAACGATGGGGAGAAGCCAAGGAAAGATTTCTGCTCAGTATCTCCCTGGGTCAGTGGTTTCCCCCCAGCATTAAGCACTGCCCGTTGAGAGTGAAGGATTTAATATTTAATGCTTGTCTGTATTTTCACTGCTTTGCCTCCACTGTTGTTTTTTTTTTTAATCCCTGTATACATCAAACAATCACTCAGAGAATATGTTCTCTGCCTAGAAGGTTAACCAAGCCGCCTTACAAGCTCCCTATCCATCAGGAAACATAACTAACTCCAGAAGTTGAGTAGTTATCTATTCAATAATACTGGGTATTTTAGCTCTCTTTACAGTTCTATCATGTTGGGAATAGAATAATTATTAGCTGATAGACTTAAAAATATTAGGACTAAATGTGACCTAAGAGAGCATATGACCAGGGCTAAGAAGTTGGCCTGGCAGGTTAATTCAGCAGGTGGATGGGATTTATTTGGGCTGAATTTGAATGCTTACCAACAGGCTACTACACACACATTCCAGTCACCTGCTGGGGGAGGGGGGTCTAAGAACACATACATTCATAGCCTCTGATCTTTCCCAAGAGTATAAGGTGACTGAATTGAATTCAGCTGCCTAAGTCTAAGGTAGAGGAGATGAGAGAAAAACCATTAAGTTTGTTAGCCTTAAAAAAATAAAAAAGAAAGCCATAGACCATCCATGATAGAGTGTAAAAGTGTTCCCGACCCTTCACCCTCCCTACATGGCATGCTTTTCTATGTAACAATTTTGGTTTCTCACTTTGACTCTAGGCTTGGCCAGGTGACTTACTTTGGCCAATGTGCATGTTTAAAAAATCATAACAGGATTATGTATCTGTGCTCCAGCACATATTTTGACACCATTCTTCAATAGGGTTGTGTGGTGAGGTCAGTATGTGCTCAGCTGTATTGTTCTGGTTCTCTTGAGAAAAATGACACACACTTCAATTCAGCCATTCAGTCTGTTCTTTTAATACTTCTTTATGGTTCTTGCTAGATTTGGAAATACCAAGGGTTTGGAGGCTCCCCCCTTCATCAAGTCCCTAAAGAATGGGTGGTTCACTCCTCTCCCCATTTTACAGCTTCCTTTCCAGCCCAGTATGTATTTACTGAATGTATTTGAAAGTCAATTAGAGATATGTATTCTATACATTTATAATTTTAGAATTAATATTCTACTTTTGCAATTCACTATAAGTAGATGACAACTGATATCTTCCATAGTATTGTAATAAAAATCTTAACAACTGGAGTCTTAATTTACCACATGACAAAAATGGTATTTTTAAACCTCACATAACACCAATACTTGGTAAAACGCTGAATGACAGAATTTTACTTGTGATATTAATTTATTCCTTAAGTGGCTTCTTCTCAGCCTCTCACTCAATAAAAGATTCTCACAGTGTAACATTCACTGAGCCAACATGACAGTTCCCATGCATTTCTCACTAGCTTTGTGAGACACATGTTTTGGCTCATCCCTAAAGAACACTGAAGCACGCTAATTTGAAAGAACTGCATAATAGGGACATTCCAAATTTGTACATTTTGGCTTTACTGATGGATGTTTATTATCAGTTATGCCTCAGTGCTATCACCACGTAGCATTGTGCAGTGCAGATTTAGGACGTGTGCGATGTTCAAGATTAAGAGCATAGGTGAAGCACAAAAATGAAAGGTCTACTCTTATCAGCTTGGGGATCTGGTTTGATTATGAAGCTGGCCTCCAAAGAAGAGAAACAAACTTGGATACAATCCAACAGACCCATCTTCAGTGCAGACCCAAACATCAGAATAGCTAAATACCAGAATTGCTCTGGTTTCTTGCAAGACATGCCCTTTGGCTATTTTTTTCCAGGGTATACCACTGAGACCTGTGTCTGGAACCAAAATGGCCTAAAGTTATCAATACACCCACTGAAGAAACATCTGTTGAACTCCTAATATCTGTCAGACCCTGGGCAGGCCTGGGGAATACAGAAGGAATGACTCAGACCCTGACTTCGAGAAGTCCTCACTCTTATTAGAATAAGTTGCCATTTTCCTAACCTTACATCTCACCACTTTCTGCAGTTTATGAAAAGTCTAGAAGTATCAGAGGTGTATATTTTTTTCTTCTTTTGTTTCATGTTTTATAATATGCAATAATTTTGATCAAACCACTTACTTGCCACATATAACACTTTTCACTGCGAAATAAAATCTTTCATTGAAAAATATTACCAGGGTACTTTAAATTTTATAGTTTGGAGAAAAATCTAGTCATAGACCACACAACTCAAGAAGTAGCTATGAACTACTATAAGTAAAGCCTTTCCACTGAAACACCTTAGGCCTTTTCTTTGCAGCTGAGAAACCATTAGTTAACCACTCTCATTTCCACCTTTGTCATCACTTTCACTCTTCATGCTCCGATTCCCACTGCATGTCCATTCTTCCAAATCTTCTTACAATCCAAACCCATCCTTCATTAAACTGAATGACCTTAGGAAACTTTTGGTCATTCTAACATCTAAAAAAACTTGCCATTCATTGGCAAAGGACTTGGTAACACTGGAATCCAACATGAACCTTATTAATGTTCACACTGTTGTTATTGGTGTCTCCATAATTGTTAGCATGGTTCAAAAAGTATAATATATTATGGAGCTAAAGGTACTAGATCCATTTCTATTAATAAGTTCTCCTAGTTCTAACATGAAAACACATAACAAAATTTGCTTGGTAAATGACAAGTTCTATATAGCTTAACACATGAGTATATCAACATCTAGCTGAAGATAGACATTTTAATTACATGTACCTTCCTTTCATTCCTTCATCTGGATTTGATTGCAACAAAGTGCTCTGCATAACCCCAACCACAAGAGTCGGTCGCGAACCTGCTACCTCGGCACCTTACAAAAGCCCCTGGTGGGGACAGGACTTACTTGCTGCTGAGACAGCGCCTTAGTGAATAGGAGGCCCCTCCACCGCAGGTGCGTGAACACTCGCTCCATGAGCCCCAGGCGTCCCACAGGCTGTCCCTGTCCTCCTCAGAGCGAGTTGTCCTGGAGCTCTGTGAGAAACAAGAGGATGGTCAGTATCACGTCCCCAGTGAACCTTGAGACACATGTCCTAAGATGGTGGTGGCCTATCTGTCTGACCATGGTGGGCTTTCTGGGGCTGAAAGCATGCATCGGATCCTTTCTAATTTAATAAGGTATATATGTCAGGGGAAAATAATATTTAAGCTTAAAGACCCTGGGCAATGACTAAAGGGGGCAAGGGATTGCACTAAGAGAGCAAATGGAAAAGGGGGCCAAAAACAGGAATCTGGGTGAGTGGAAGGTAAATTGCAATAAAGTCACAGTTTTGGCCAGAGTTCATGCGTCTACTCTTTGTCTCTTAGTGAAGAGAAGTTTCACTCTCAGGGATGCTCCTGCTCCGAGGAGCTCGACATGTGCATACCAGCACTGCCTTTCCGAACAACGCTTTATGCAACTGACAATTCTCAGTTTTCAGATTTGCTCATTAAAGTAACTGCATGAAGTAACTTCAGTAGAGATTGGCTTTAGACAGCTCGACACGCTTGTTACTGCCAGGCTTCCCAGTGGAAACTGCATTTACTGTAAGGAAAGTCATTACGTACAGACATGATGTTGAGCTTCACGTTTCTTATACAGAAGAGCCAAAGATAAAATCTACACCATAGTTAACAGGACAGGCTCTGGAGTTAGAGACTGTCTGTTTGGATATGAATTCTGTTTTTTACTCTGTGTCCTTGAACAATTACCTTAATACCTCCTCACACTTCAATTTCTCATTCTATAGAATAGAAATAATGTTTTAACGATGCTATCTCACCTGCACACACACACCATATAGAAGGACTAGCTAAATGAACTTAGCCTAGGAATAGTTCCAGAGTAAAGCAGGAACAAGTATTACCTGTAATCACTATGTTATTATCAATTGAGAATATCTCATATATGTATTTATATAGTTATATTAGTCTTCTGGGTTGCAATAACAAAATACCAGACTGGCTAGCTTAAAAACAACAGAAATTAATTTTCTCACAGTTTGGGGAGCTAAAAGTCTGAGGCCAGGGTGCCAGCATGGTTAGTCCCTGGTGAGAGCTCTCCCCTTGGGCTGCAGAAGGCTGCCTTCTCACTGTGTGCTCACATCATCTCCGCCTGGAGTTTGCAAGGAAAGAGTGTAAACTCGCTGGTGTCTCTTCTGATGAGGGCTCTAATCCTATTATGAGGGCCCCACCCTCATGACCTCATCTAACCCTAATTACCTCCCAAAGGCCCCATCTCCAAATATTATCGTATCATCGAATGGGGAGGTGGTGGGGGGAATGGGACACAACTCAATCCTTAGCAAGAGTTCCACAAATAGTTAATATAAATTGTGGCCAAGTTATTTCACTGGATAAAGTAAATGTGATAGCTGAGCATTTAAGGTGATATTTTCTCATGTCAATCAAAGACATACATACGACAAATAATAAATTTTAAAACTATATTTGTAAAAAACAATCCCTTAAGAAAATGCGCATGTTAGGCAATATGACCACCTCATGTTCTGTTTTCTCCCTGAAGAGAGAGCACAGGCAGTGAAGAATACCAGGGAAGCATGGGACAGGAGCGACGCTAGGGTAACGGCTCACAAAGCATGTGAAAACTTGAGATGATATAAGGCAAGTGCGAGCACATAGTAGGCTCACAAACGGTAGCTCTTATTAGCATTTCTAAATTACTTTCTCATGCCCTACCTAGGATGTATCATCCAAACAGGAGTGGACTCTGGAAAAGAAAAGACCATCCTCTCGTCCCCAGAAAGCTATTTATTTTGCAGTAATAGATTCTTTATAAATCAGTTGCTATGGGGCTCAGCTGTCAAACTGATGACTTCTTGGAAGTTTTAAAACTGGTACAAATTGTCAGAAACCTGGCCTCAGAGCGCTGTACCAAGGGTTGGCTAATCAGTGCGTGTTTTATTTAGATTCTTAAGTCATTTGAAAGGGCAGAGGGATAGAGAGTGGCTGAGAACAGGGAGTGTGGGCCTGCTTAGCCGGGGGTGGAACACTGGCCCCAGGGTGCCCTAGCTGAGGCCTCTTTACAATTCAGGTGGTTTTCCTATCATAAAATGGGGGTGATGAAGATGCCCACATCACTGAGACATAATGAGGGTTAAAATAGTTAATATGTAAAAAGCACACAAAGTGGAAACAACCCACATGTCATGGGTAGGTGAATGAATAAACAAGCTGTGGTATAAACGTATACTGGAATATCATTCAACCTTAAAAAAGGAAGGGAGTTCTGACACATGCTACAACATGATTGAAGTTTTGTTCACATTAGGCTAAGTGAAATAAGACCAACACTAAAGACAAATATTGTACGACTCCACTTATATGAGGTACCTAGAGCAGTCAAACTCATAGAGACAAGAGTTAGAATGGCCAGGGGCTGGAGACAGGAAGAAAGGAGATGGACACAGAGTTTCAGTTTGAGGAGATAAAAATAATTCTGGAGATAGAGGGTCTTGATGGATGCACAACAATGTGAATATACTTAATGCCACTGAACTATACACAACATGATTAAAACGGTAACCTTCATATTACGCATATTATACCATAATAAAAAAGTAAGTACAGACATACATTTCAAAAAGCTCATAGAGACTAAATAATAAACACTGTATAAGCATTAGATGCTATTATGGCTAACATTATTATTTAAAGTTACTTATTAACATCATTTATAAACATATACAGACCCAGAAAGGTTCCAGGAGGTATACTGAGACGGTAAAAGTGTTTTTCTTTCTTTTTTTTCCTGTTGAGTTCAGTTGAGACACTGCACTCTTAAAGGTGTCATCTCCCTGAAAACCCTGACTCCCACAGCAGAACCTCCCAGTGACCTGCACATTGCTTGGCCTGGTAATACGACCTGCCAGTAGTTTGAGGTGGCACAGAATGGGTAACAGAAACACACTGGTTATTACAAAGCCCGTCCTTTCTAAAGGAAGTATTTATTGAGGTTTAGGATTAATAAAGTCAGTCTCTAATCATGGCAATGTGGGGTACTCTGTTTCCAGAGCTTAATTAAATAGTGAGACCAAAAAGCTCTTTGCCATTGAAGTAGACCAAGCCTCTTCTCCACACACCCATTAAATTCTTCCTCAGATATTAAAAAAGTTCAAACTGCATCTCCTGGCTCCCTTGCTGTTTGCGATGTGTAACTGGACGATGGTTCTGTTGAGAGAGTACTTGCCTGACGCAGTAACTATCTGTGTGACAGACACACATTGTATAATCCAGTTTCTTTCATTTTATTAAAATTAAATATTACTGAGATGAAAACCAGCATCACAAATGCTGGGATTCGTGAAGTAATTAAAATGAACAGGATGAGTGATACTATCCAATTACTACAACTGCAAAAAAAAAAAAAAATTCCACATGAGGCTTTCCCATGTGAACTTCATTTCCATGTGAGATAAGAACACCAGAATGCCAAATCCTGGGGCGGCGTGTTAGGGGGCGTTCTCTCCGGCTGTTCTGTGGATACGATATTTAGGAAATAATGTATAATTGAGATTTTGTTTCTCTAGAGGGGCAAATTGTTTTGATTTCAGTGCGAAAGTGGCTTGATTTTTTTTCACACCCTGTTTAAAGAGGCACTACAATGGCTCTAAGGTGAGCTCTCACTGCCTAAACATCTCACCTCATCACAAGTCACAAGTTGCAACACAACTAGACTTACCAAGTGCCCACACTTCTCTAAAAGAGATTGTACACTAACCCAGAAGTGAGTCATGGACCTATTTCTCGAACTAGAACTAACAATTCCTTTCAACTGAATCCATGTTCAATGTTAGAGAATGTAAATTGATTTTCCTCTTCTTTAACTGTGCCAGATTTTTACATCTATAACCCAGAATGACATTTCAGTAATGCCTTTCAGATCATTTAAGACCTAACAGACAATAGTGGGGTGAAGGCCTTGGGCAAGGTTGAGGGGGTCAATAAGGGAAAAAAAGGGGACATCTGTAATACTTTCAATAATACAGATGAATTAAAAAAAAATAAAAGTACTTGCTTATTACAGTTTTTAAAAGGGCCTTTGATATAAACAATGCTTGTGGCTCTCCAGGTGGGACGCATGCTTGTTTCTCTCTTTCTTTGGAATGTGCAGTCCTCTTCATTCTACAGTAGCATTTTTTAAAAGTGTGAATTTTGAATTGCATCGAATCCTTCCCTTGAGTTATTCAATTTAGAAAAAGTCTATTTCTAGATTTTGGGTCTCACATGATGATCTTTGAATGTATCACTGATGACAACTTCTAAATCTACTACTTGCTAAAAACTCAACGACCCAGTTCCATCCATTCATTGCCCCTGGTCACTTCAGTGGCTCTACCCCTCAGCTAGTGCCAACTGCATGCAATATACAGGCATGCCTCGTTTTATTGTGCTTTCATTGCCCTTCACAGATGTGGGGTTTTTTTGCAAATGGAAGACAAGACCCTCCACCAGCAAGAAGATTACAACTTACTTTATCGCCATATCCCCTTTATTGCTATGGTCTGGAACTGAACCTGCAATATCTCGGAGGTATGCCTGTAGATTGTGGCCACAGGTCATTAAATACCTCCTAGGAATATTAGAAGAAGATTAAAAGAGCTTCTCTAAATCCACCAACCTCAGAATGGTGTCATTTTCTCACTATTACTGGCTTATCTAAATGTGGTTTTCATCTGATAGTTTTGTGGTTGATTTCAGAGCCAAATGCAGCAACCAAGTCTCAGGTGATCAACTTCAAGCCTGACAGCTACAAGTAGTTAAACACTTTGAGTAATGACATGCAGCAATAGTTTCCCTGCACCTCACTGCCCAGCAGACACTTAACCTTAGAATGACCTCCTATGAGCCACTTTATCCAGAAACCGCTTTCACTGGAACCTGGACAGGTTATCAAGGACTTATGAAAGATGTTGTAGGATGAAGCACAAATTAGCAATAAAAAGACTCTAGAGTTATATCTGCTCAGGCATACA